GGCAGCCCAGGCGGAGGTAGGTGGGCCGGGCCAGGGCTGCACTTTGAAGCCCCCAGCTCCGCGAGAGTTCGGGGCGGGACTGGTCACCCCGGGCTTGCGACCCCGAGCCCTGACCCCGGCCGCGGGTGAAGAAGCGAGGTCGCCCCGACTGTGCGTCCACAGCACGGGCAGCAGCCGTCACCACCTTGCCCGACCCTACCTGGTCGTGGGCGGCCGCCCCCAGCCACCCGTCCCAAAACTGGTCACCCAAGCACACCACCGGTCAGACAGGGCTACTCCCCGCGAGTTGTCAGAAGTAGGGTGCAGACCCGAGTGGCCGCGGGGCACAGCGGGGAGAGGGGCCGGACTGGGAGACCTGGCCCCATCCTTCCTGCACGCTGACCACGGGCGCTGCAGCCTCAGCTTCCTCATTGGAGAAGTGGGTTAATAATACTGTTGTCCAGGGCTCCTGATCTGTGCACCAGATCCTACCTTCGGCTGTGAAATGGTTAATAATACCAGTCTCCCAGGACTGCTGACTTCTGCATCAGTTCCTAGCGTGGCATCTGTAATTGCTCAGTACTTGCCAGCCATGTAGTCAAGATGATTTAATGCCCATGCTGGGTCGGAATGGCGTGGGTTTCTGGGCGAGGTGGTGTTTGAACTAAGAATTGAGGGAGGAGGGTGGTTTCAGCCGGGAGGATGGGGAGAAGGGTGTTCCAGCCCAGGGAACAGAAATAAAAGTGATGGACCTGTGGTCCTTCTGCGCCAGGGCTTCCTTCCTTTTCAGGGTAAACCCCTGGTCAGTGGGCTGCTGCGGAAAAGTTAGGAGCATAGACAGGGCCTTCTGGAAACAGCATCCCTATCTTTCTTTGTTTTTAAACCCAAAGAAGTGAGACTGAGGGATGTTTCAGACTGGACAAGGTGGAGAGGCAGTGGTGGCTGGCTGGTGGGAAAGATATTTTTGGATAGGAATGTTGATAGGGTTCTTTCTTTCCTAGTGGGGGAATTAAAGCGGTCTCTGGATAGTGCACACAGTTTGTGTTCAACTACTAACCTACAGGTTGGCAGTTCAAACCCATCCAGCAGCACCACGGAAGAAAGGCCTGGCGATCTGCTTCCATAAAGTTTATATGCACGAAAACCCTATGGAGCAGTTCTAATCTGTAACACATGGGGTTGTCGTGAGTCGGAACCGATGCTACGGCACCGGGTTTGGTTTCAGTTGGTTGGAATTAGAGGTGACAGGGAAGAGCTGAGAGGTCCCAGAACCCAAGGGATAAAGAAATCAGCCAACAAGCAGGTTTGGGAAGAGGAGGGCGGTGGCAACAGTTTTGAAAGCAGCTTCTTCAGTGGCATTTCCACTGTGATCTATCCCATTGCCCCTCCCACCGCCGAGTTGGCTCCTCCCACTCACGGTGAGCCTGTGTACAACGGGATAGGACCGTTATGCTCCATCATTGGCTGATGTGTAGATCACTGGACCTTTTTTCTGGTCTGTCTTAGTCTGGATGCTCCACTGAAACCTGTTCACCTGGATCCTAGCAACATACGAGCCCCCACTGACAGGTGGTGGCCGTGCGTGAGGTGCACTGGCTGGGAATCAAACCCAGGTCTCCCACATGGAAGGCGAGAATTCTACCACGGGACCACCACTGCCCCACCGTCGTGTGTCTGTAGTTTAGTAAAACAGTAAAAGCTGGAGAACTGGGGGGAGAACATCTCCCCCTACTTGTCTAGGTGGGGCCTACTCCGTTCGCTTCTAAATGTTCTTTACCTTTTTATTTAAAAAAAAAAAAAAGAAAATTAAGCTCCCTCTTTGCTTAGCTTGGAAGAGGCGCAGGAGGAGGCAGTCTTCCGAGAAGTGGTCAGCTTCACCCCGGACCCTTTGCCAGGTGAGAGGGACTGAGGCTCGGAACATCCACGTCCGCTCCTGGGGCTTCCTGGCAGGGTGCCCCCCTTTGTCTCTCGGCCACCGTCCAGGCGTTTCCGTGACTCCCTTAATGCCCCCCCCCGACCAGTTAGATATTATGACAAGGACACCACTAGTCCCGTCAGCTTTTACTTGTCTTCGCTGGAGGAGCTTCTGGCCTGGACGCCCAGCGTGGAGGACAGCTTTAACGTGGCCCTGGGGCCCCCCGTGTGCCGCCAGCCCCCTCTGAGCAGCCGGAGGTTCCGGACCCTGGTGTGCCATGACATGATGGGCGGGTACCTGGATGACAGGTGAGAGTGGCACTGCCCCCTGCCTCTGGGCTGCGAGGGGGAGGGCGCTGCATGGTGGAAGGAGCCCGCGACGGGGTCGGGGGTGGGGGGCAGTGCTTGGCCGGCCTCTGTCCCCACCTGGGAGAGAAGCTCGGGCCTCAGGGTCTCCTGTGCAGAAGGAGAGGGTGGGCCCAGTGGCGTGTGATGACTCCTTCAGCCCCGTCATCGTGGGAGTCCATGAACTGCCGAGCAAGGCGGGCCTCTGCAGACTGCACGGTCCTGAGACTGTTTCTGTCTTAACCTTCACTAAAGCTCGGTTCGGTGCCGGGTCTCTTGGCGTCCGGTCTCACTCTCTCCCACTCACGGTCAGGGACCTTTCACCCGGCGTGGCTGTGGAGTAGCTCAGACATTCCGCACAACCTCGGGTGCCGCGCTTGAGGGAAGGCTTGAATCAGCTCGCTGTTAGGTGCAGGCCAGGCTGCTGGTAGGATCCTGGGTGCAGCCCAGCCTTCAAACGCAGGGAGACCGGCTCCCAGAGGCGCTCCCAGAGGCGGGAGCCTTTCCACAAGCCCTTCCATTCTCTCTTTCCTCCATTCACGAAGCTGCAGGTGCTCGGCCTGCGGATCCCTGGCAGATGCGGACAGATGTAGTCTTATTCTCTTACAGCCAGCATTGTGGCTCGCTCACCCTCCCGCTCCAGGACCGCAGCTGCCGGCATGGAGCAAATTTGCAGCTAGTATGGGCTGAACGGAACCGAGCAGGAGCTTCTCTCGGGCCGCTTCCTCTTTTCCCCTCACGGTGGCCGCGTCCTGCGTCTCTGCCCTGGACCTGACTGCTCTGCTGCTCTGCCTAGGTTCATCCAGGGCTCCGCGGCGCTGAGCCCCTACTCCTTCTACCACTGGCAGTACATCGACATCTTTGTGTACTTCAGCCACCGCTTGGTCACCATCCCCACGGTGGGCTGGACCAACGCTGCCCACAGGCACGGCGTCTGTGTGCTGGGTAAGGCCCGGGCGCGCTTCTGACTCCATCAGACCTCTTAGCCCGCCTGCAGGTGGCCCAGGGACCGGACGGCGGGCTTGGTCTGCCTCTTAGTGAGCAGAACACCCCCCCAGGGCACTGCTGGGTAGGTTAGAAGTGGCGTGGGCAAACTTGTTCCAGAAAGGGCCAGAGAGTAAATCGGCTTCAGTGGCCGTTGGGTCACTTGCTGTTGTAAGTCCTAGCGTGAAGGCAGCCACTGACAATAAAACAAATGGGTGTGGCTGTGGTCCGCTAGGAGACCCCGGGTGGTGAAGAGGTTATTGTGAAAGGTTGGAGGTTGGAGTCCACCCAGAGGCACCTCGGAAGAAAGGCATGGCTATCTACATCCGAAAAACAGCTATTGACAACCCCATGGAGCACAGTTCTACTCCGACACACATGGGGCTGCCACCAGCTGGAGTTGACTGGTTTTACTGGTGGCGTTTCAATGAAACTACTTACGAAACCAGGCGGGGGGGTGGCCCACGGGGCACAGATGGCCAACCCCAGTTGCACTGGTGCTCTTGAGTGCCCGCCTGCAGCCCAGTCACTGCGGGGCTTTTTGTGACTCTGATCGCGGGGTCCCACCCCAGAGCGTCTGGTTCACAGATACCTGGGCGGTTCAGAAGGTGAGCTTCCACCAAGTTCAGGTGAGGCCGCAGCAGCTGGCCCAGGACCCTCCCTTGGGGACTGCTGGAGCGGAGGGTTTCTGCGCCTGACCTCGTTTCTCCCCGCCCAGGGACTTTCATCACCGAGTGGAGTGAAGGTGAGAAGCTCTGCGAAGCCTTCCTGGCAGGGGCTGAGCGCTCCTTCCGGGCTGTGGCTGATCAGCTGGTCCGCATCGCACAGTTTTTTCGTTTTGACGGCTGGCTCATCAACATCGAGAACTCCCTGAGTGTGAGCACGGCCTTGCCCTGGGCCCTGCCTCGTGCGGTGCCGTCTGCCCACGCTGTCCTGGGCCTCACCTTCCCACCGCGCCCAGGCCCTCCCCCTCGGCTCTGGGTGTCAAAAGGAGGAGCCACTTCTCCTGGGTTCCAGGGGCAGCTCCGAGTCCCAGGGGCTTCGAACCTCTGCAGCTCTGTTTGCAGAACCCCGGCCTGGCTGAGCCCTGCTTTTCCCCTTCCTCTTCCACTGTCTCTGCTGAGCAGGATCTGTGGCTTCCTCCCTGTCCATGGCGTTTCCTCTTCTCCTGCTCTGGGGTTCCTGTCCCCACTGCCTCAGAAGGACGGGGAGTCATGGGTCTGGTTGCACCCTCCTGTCAGTGCCATGGCCTGGGTCCTGCGGTGACCAGTGCTTTCCTTGTGGGTCTGTGTATTCTTGGGCATCTCAGTGTCTTCCCATCTGTCCTGCGCTGGGGTCTGTGTGACCGCAGCTGAGCCAAGGACACGTCTGGGCCTTACTGAGTGACTGTCCTGTCTTGTCCCCTCCCCAGCTGGCTGCAGTGGGGAACGTGCCCCCGTTCCTCCAGTACCTGACTGTGGAGCTGCACCGGGCGGTGCCAGGGGGCCTGGTGCTCTGGTATGACAGCGTGGTGCAGAGTGGGCAGCTCAAGTGGCAGGACGAACTCAACGAGCACAATAGGTGAGCCCACCGGTGGCCCTGGCTGAGCTTGGGCAGGAGAGAGACCGGTGCTCGCCTCCAAAGGGTTGTCCACTGTCCCGATCACCAAGGGCACAGTCAGGGCCTGATCACCCTGTGCTGTGGAAGGCTGTAGACAGGGATTCAGGGCCGGGCCCTGGCGACAGCCCACGGGCATGAACTCCGAGGGGACGCGAGGGTGGTCCGGCAGGAGCAGCTGGGAGGGTGGGGGCTGGCCGCCTGACCGGCCTCACGCAGGTCCTGGCCGCTCACAGGGCCTTCTTCGAGGCTTGTGACGGCTTCTTCACCAACTACAACTGGAAGGAGGAGCACCTGGGGCGCATGCTGGTGCAGGCTGGGGAGCGCCGTGCCGACGTGTACGTGGGGGTGGACGTGTTCGCCCGTGGCAACGTCGTCGGGGGCCAATTCAACACGGACAAGGTGGGCAGTGCCTGCTGGGGTGGGCGCTGTGGGCCTGGTCTCCCCGCGGACCTCTCATTCCCATCTGCACCTCCAGGGAAAGATGCGGCAGTGACTGTCCCCGGAGCGGGGAAACTGAGGCACTGAGCTGCTGGGCCAAGAGCGTCCTGACTAGAACCCTCACCTCTAGCCCGTCCCCACAGTCAGACGATAGATTTTTGGGTGATGATGGACGGACGTGTCTTATCCCAACTCCTTCCTCCGCTCGAGCCAGCTTGTATTTCCTTTTTGGGCTGTGTTCTTTAAGAGTGTTGAAGTTACATTTTAAGTCTTCAGGCTGGGCTTCAAAATAACCAAACTCACTGCCGTCGAGTCAGTTGGGACTCATAGTGACCCTATAAGACAGAGTGGAACTGCCCCATAGGGTTTTCAGGGCTGTAAATATGGAAGCAGACTGCCACATCTTTCTCCCACGGAGCGGGTGGTGGGTTCAAAGCACCGACCTATCGGTTGGCTGCTGAGCACTTAACCACGGTGCCAGCAGGGCTCCTGGGGCGGGCTTAGGAAACAAAAAAACTCAAACGCGTTGCTGTCAAGTGGATTCCAACTTGTGGCAACCCCATGTGTTACGGAGTAGAACTGTTCCATAGATTTTCTCTGCTATTCTCTGCTGTTATCTTTATGGAAGCTAATCACCAGGCCTTTCTTCCGTGGTGCCGCTGGGTGGGTTCAGATCGCCCACCTTTCAGTTAGTAATGCAAACCGTGTGTGCTGCCAGGGGTCTCAGGCCTCAGGACCACCAGGGTCTGTTGCTTCCTTTCCCGGGCAGCTTGGGGGTGAAGGAGCAAGGTGAAGCAGCTGCAGCTTCACGACTCTAGTTTAATAACTAGCGAGATTTTCCTGGCCAGACAAGTCACATCAGCAGTGAGGGAGGAGGGGCGCCAGGGCTGACTCACCTGGTGTGGGCTAAACAGTCCTCCCGTCTCCTGGGCTGTCTGTCCATCCTGCCCTTCCTGGGGCCAGCGGGAGGCTCTGTCATGAATTAAGCTTTAAGTGAATAAATTAATCCGATAACTGAAAATTTTCTTTACCCCCCATGATTCTGGTACTGTAATGAGAAGGCTGTGAGAGAGACGGGAGGCTTATTAAGCATCCTCACCTCCAGGCCCCGCCCCTGCCCACCCACTGGGGGATGCTGTCCGAGCAGCACTCCCTCCTGGTCAGTTTGTGGAACTGCAGGGGGAATGAAGAATAAAGAGCCGCTAAATGCATTCACCCGGAGTCTGAATCCACCCCACTGCACCTGGTTTTAGTCCCTGGTGGCGCACGTGGTTAGCATTCTCAGCTGCTAACTAAAAGGTTGGAGGTTCGAGTCCACCCAGAGCCTCTCGGAAGAAAGGTCTGGCATCTGCTTCCAAAAAATCAGCCACCGAAAACCCTATAGAGCACACTTCTACTCTGACACACATGGGGTCGCCGTGAGTCAGTCGACTTCACGGCACCTGGTAACGAGATCTAGGCAAGGTGCAGCGGTAGAATCGTCGCCTTCCACACAGGAGACCCGGGTTTGATTCCCGGCCAGTGCCCCTCATCTGCAGCCACCACCCATCTGTCAGGGGAGGCTTGTGTGTTGCTGTGACACTGAACAGGTTTCAGCGGAGCTGCCAGACTAAGATGGACTGGGAAGAAAGGCCCGGTGATCGACTTCCAAAACTCAGCCACTGAAGACCCTGTAGATCACAATGGTCTGATCCCCCGCTGGTTGTGGGTGTGGCGCAGGACGGGGCAGTGCTGCGTCGCATTGTGGGGTTGTCATGAGACGGGCTGGCTCGACAGCTCACGACAGCAGCAGATGGATTCAGGGAGGGGAGTCTGAACAGCTTGTCTGATTGGGCCAGCGGTGTGCGGGTGGGTCCCCCCACCCCGACTTCTCTCTCCCCAGTCGCTGGAGCTGATCCGAAGGCATGGTTTCTCAGCGGCCCTCTTTGCTCCCGGCTGGGTGTACGAGTGTTTGGAGAAGAAGGACTTCTTCCAGAACGAGGACAAGTGCGTTTTTCCGTCCCGAGGATTCGGTGTGGGCTGAGGGCAGGGAGGGGCTGCAGACCACCTGGCTTCTCACAGTAGCTCAGGGTCTTGCTCTCTGTCACCCTCTCCAAGGGGGTGGTGCAGGGCGGGGACATGGCCTGAGACCAGTTAGGCAGGAAAGACGGCAGGTCAGGGACCTGAGGGCCACCCCCCTCAGACATCTTCTCTGGCCCCCACGTGGCAGGGAAGCTACGGTCCACGCTGGAAGGCTGGTCGGGAGGGATTCTGGCAAGGCACGGTGAGTGAACTTGGGGATGCTGGGGTGCCCCCAGAGTCTGGACCCACTTCTCTGTAGGTTCTGGAGTTTGCTGGCACGCTACCTGCCCACTCACAGCATCTGCTCCTTGCCGTTTGTCACGTCCTTCTGCCTGGGCCTGGGCACACGGAGACTCCGCTACGGACAGGTGCGTGGTCCCCCCGCGGCACGCGGCGGGCAGTGAGCGTCCGACGGTGTCCTGGCCGAGGCACTGCTTGCTTGTGGGGTCTCCAGCCTTGGCGGGGCAGGGTGGGGGGCCTGGGGGTGTGGGTGGGACGGAGGGCGGCCTGGCCCCCCCGCCACATCATACATGCTCTGCCTGTCCTCTACTGAGTCCTCAACCCGACTCTGCCTTTTCACTCAGGAGGAGGTGGTGGGGCCCTGGTACCACCCCGGCGCCCAGGAGCTGCAGCCCTTGTTTGGGGAGTACCAGCTGGAGGGGGGCGGCCGGGGCTGGGTGAAGACCCACTGCTGCCTGGCTGATGCCTGGAATGGGGGCAGCTCCCTTCTCATCCGGGGGGCCATCCCCCCCGAGGTGGGACACATGGCTGTGAGGTAGGTGAGTGATGGGGCAAGAGGTGTGGGGACATTTGGCGTCCCCCCTCCATGTCATCCGGCACCTGGGCCTGGGGACAGATCTGCGCTCGAGCCACGGGCAGACGGGAGTGGGGTAGGTTCCTGGAGGGGAGCTGGGCGGCAGTGATCTGGACTGATCCCGGCCTCTTCGTGGAGTTCTCGCCGGCCCCTCACGCGGCTCTCCCTCCTCCAGGTTGTTCTCCCTGCAGGTCCCCATGCCACCCAAGGTGTTCCTGTCCCTGGTGTATAAACTCGAGGGACCCACGGCCGTCACCGTGGCCTTGGAGCTCAGCATGGGGGACGCCAGCAGCTGTCACATCAGCGGCATCTCAGCACTGAACGGTGAGGAGAGGTCTGCCTTGTGCCTCCTGTGGGCCCCTGCCCTCCAGCTCTGCTCTGCTGCCCCGGCGGACCCCGAGAAGTCCAGAAGGATGCACGAGGGTGTGGGGCCTGTGAGGACAGGGCTGAGCAGATTCTGTCTTCCCAGAGCTGAGGTGCTGTGGCTGAGGCCTTGTGGGGGCAGCTCTTCTCTGACCCCTCCACCCTGCGGCCCCACCAGGCAGCACTGCACCCCCCGAGGCAGGGCTGTCCCGGGACCAGGAAGGGCCTCCGGGGCCTGCTGCTGAGCGCGAACGCATGTACTGGGCAGGGGGCTGGGGGAGGGGCAACTCAGGAGGACCCAGGCTGGAGCAAGAGGCGATCAGACCCAGACACGCGTTCCATTTTGTCCTCACCCCTGGAGGGCGTCTGCACCCATTTCTGTCCCCTGGGGCCCTTACTGGGGGTGCATGAGCACAAGGACCCCCAAGAGTCCTGCCCGATGCACAGCCCACTGCCCGGTGGTCCCCTCGCTCTGTCCTCTGGGACCCTCCTCTTGGGAGTTCGGGGCCTGGCTGCCAGCCTGAACCGAGGTGTCTCCTCTTCCAGCAGAGACAAGCCTGAGGCATAGCACCCGGCCCCTCCGTGTGCCCCCCAGCAAGCTGGCCAGGTCGGCCGGCCGATGTGGCCAGCCGTTCGGTGGGGGCTGGGTCCAGCGGTGAGTCCCCTCCTTGCCTGCTGAGCTCATGGCAGGGGTGGCCACGCCGGGGTGGTGGATGTGAGGGTCTCTGTTGAGATCTCAGAACTGGCGGGTGGAGGCCTGGGCCCCTCCTGGTGTCCAGCACTTACGTGACACAAACCCAGAACAGTCCCCGTGAGCCATGTGGGTCATAGCGGGCTTTACTGAGGCCCGGGGTTGGGGTGCCCCCCCCCCCCACCTCGGCCCCTGTGACCAGCCTGCCTCCCCCCCGCAGCTGCTACGAGGTGAGCCTGCGGGGCTGCCTGCTGCAGGACCTTTTCATCAGCTTCTCTCGGCCCCTGGGCAGCCGCCAGGAGGAGACCTTTGTCTGCCGCCTCGGAGAGATCCAGGTGATGCTTCCCGGGGGCCCAGGCCTCCTAGGGGCTCAGGCTGTGAGGAGGCCGAGTGTGGCCGCCTGCTCCCTTTCCTGCCGAGGCGGGAGTGGGGAGACGTGTGCCCCGGGGCTGAGCAACCCTGTCTCGCCAGGTGGTGGACGCGAAGAGCCTGCTGAGCCCCCTGGCCCCGGTGCAGGCTGTCACCGTCTCCCACGTCCGCTGGCAGCCGGCCGGCTCTGAACCCGAGGGTCCCTCTGCGCCCACGTGGCTCCGACTCAGCTGCACCCTGCGCTGGACCTATCCGCTCCCCCAAATCCACTGCTTTCGTATCCACTGCCGCAGGGGGCCGGGGGGCGACCCTCGCGGCGGGGAGTCACCCGGCCCTGAGAAGCCCGTTTTCCTGGGCCTAGCTTTCACTAACCAGTACCGGGTTGTGGACCTGGCAGTGGCTGCCATGGCGCCTGGCCGGGACGGCCGCGTGGACTTCCTCGTGCAGCCTGTCCCCAGGGAGGGGTTCTTGGTGCCCCAGGCCGAGTGGGGCCGGGCGACCCTGCTTTACGCCAGCCCTGCACGTGACAGACATTAAACACAGTGGTCCCTGCTTGACATCCAGGTCTCTTCCCTCCTGCCCACCAGGCCTGTGGGGGGGTTGGCTTTAGCCGGGGCATCGGTGATGGAAAGCTGGAAAGTCAGCGGGCTGGGCTGGTCATTCCCTGAGGTGAACGGACCCGCTGTCTTTGTGAGTCCCTCTCCTCAGTATACAGTTCCAAGGTAGAAGTTAGAGAATTTGGGGAAGTTTAGTCCAGAAAATTCCATAGAGGACGTTTCCTGATAGGCTTAAAGCTGAAGCTGAGAATGGAGACCTGCTTTTATTCCTCAGACTGAACAATTACAAACGAGCGTAGGCCCCAGGATGCTTGGGAGGAGGGGGGTGGCAGAGGGGGCCACCCTGAGATGGGGCCGGACCCCACGGCCGGGCTACACTGACGCGGGCTCTGGACCACATGGCCGGCCCACCCTGATATATGTTCTCACTCCTCCCAGGGCCCGGCAGGTATGTAATCATTCGACAGTCAGACTTTGAGTCCCACACTGAGGCCTCGCAGCCCCGGGTCACGTGGCGCCCATGGGACAGGATGTTCTGGGTGTCACACGTCAGGGCCGCCCTGGTCCCAGCTGTCATTAGGCCCTGTTGAGTCGATTCTGACTCATGGTGACTCCGCCTGACAGCAGAGCTGCCCCACAGGGTTTCCAAGGCTGTCACCTTCATAGAAGCAGACCGCCACGTCTTTCTCCCACAGAGCGGATGCTGGGTTCAAACTGCCGACCTTTTAGTTAGCAGGGAGCGCTTCACCACTGCACCACCAGGGCTCCTGGTCCCAATGAGGGACTGGAACTCACTCTCCCCTGTAATAATGAGGGAGGCCGCCCTGCCTGTCTGTTCCTTCTCCAGCCCTCGCCTGCGGGGTTGGGCGATCCCTTGGCAGGACACTGCTCGGCCGCGTCGGTGCCTTGCAGGGGAGGGGGCTCTCTCTCAGGGGCTGGCCTCGGTCTGTGCTCCACCTCTCCGCTCTCCTGGGACCTCTCAGCCTCCTCGAGCTGTACAACCGGTGGGCAGCCCGGGCGTCTTGGATCCGTGCGCTCGTGTGTCCCGTCTGCCTAGCTAGGACTTGTCTGCTCTCTCAGGTCGTGATCTGGCCCAGCAGCTCGCAGCACCAGAGCAAGAAGTGGGCTTTCCCTTCTCATTTGCTGCCCAGGAGAGGGCACCCCACACAGGACCCTCTGCTGGCCGACGCCAAACCAAGGCCTTCCCAAGCCCGGGGCTCCATTTCTGAGTCTGGAGGCTCCGTGGAACGTCCTGGGGTGTGTGTGGGGGGAGCGGGGCAAAATACATACCTCTTGGCAGCACTGCCCCCACTGTGGGCTTCTGTTCTGACAATTCCCTGGAGCTCTTTAACCAGGGGGGCTGCCCCTCCTGGCCCCCCAGCCCGGGGCTCCCGTCCGCACAGTGCAGTGGCGACACCCGCTTCCCTTATTTAGCGGAGGCTTTTTTTTTCTTAAGTGCCCGTCTCCCAAATATTTTATGTGGAGAAGGAAGGGAAATGTATAGTGGTTAATTATTTTCTCACAATCCAGTGAGCAAGCAGTTGGAAGTCGGTGTTTAGCGGAGCGTGGCGTGTGGCGGAATCACAGCCCCCGTTCCCGGGAGATGGGTCCCCAGCCCCGCTGACGATAAAGGCTCGTGTAGAAAAATTAATATGTCAGCATTTAAGCCTGGGCCCCTTTCCCTCTGAAATAAATTATCCAACAGCTTGAAAAATGGAGAAGTCAGCTCTGGATGGTGTGCTGTGCTGGCTCCATTTTTTGGTCTCAGCCCCTATCCCAGGCCCCATGCTTTCCGACTTGTAGTTTGGGGTCTGCCACCCGCCTGCCCAGGTCCCCCTCCTTGTCCAGCCCCTGCCTGCCCTCCCCGGAGTATGGGGTTGGGGTGTGGGTGTGGGTGTGGGTGTGTGTGGGTGTGGGTCTGGGGGTGTGGGTGTGGGTGGGTGAGTGTGGGCACAAGCAGTA